AAGCATGCAAGACATCATGATTACTGGCTGCTATGATGTAACATTTAAGTTAATGATAACTTGCATTAACATAAAATGCTTAAGAGTTTTTCTTGAGGGCTGAAGAAGTTGTGTATGATTCACTTTTAAATCCCCATGATGTAATCGCTCTCTCCTCTCTGGAAAGAAAGATGGCGGCCGCACGGGAGCCTTGTGGACAACAGGTTTGAGCCGGGGGTGGGGGTGGCAGGGACCTCATGGGAAGGGGGGCGTTCCGGTCCGTCCTTCACGCCTGACCGAGGTCACCAGTTGCCCCCCACGAGCGGCTCTCCGGCACGGCCACGACTCCAGAGCACAGAAACCAATCTCTTAACTATCTAACTTTTAATAGAAATACTTCCAGGGTTAATAAGTAAAATAGCAGAAATCCAAAACCGCGTGGCCGCTATTGCAGCCGCGCAACATCATTTAATTCTTAAAACCCAGCTGTAGAAAGCAAATCATTTCACAACGCTTTTTCAGCATGTCTGATTTGGGGGGGGGGGGGGGGGGTCATAAACTCTAAATAATAATGGTGCATTTTTTATTGAAACCATGAATCTAGTCAAAGTAGATAGAGTGTTAACTAGAACTCATCTGCCTCACAGGAATTGGGAGGGGTGGGAGGTGGGGTTCTATTGGGGTTTGTGGTTAAAAATAAGTATTGGTAAAGGGAAATGTGTTTGATATTTACATGACTGAGACCTAAACCTGAAAGCTCTGTAACTTTTCCCACAGTGATTCAATAAATAAATAAATTATAAAAAAAATAAATTAAAATGGTAAACCAAAAATAAATAAATAAATAAATAAATAAATCCCCATGATGTAGTACGCACAGTAGGCAGTAAGTGGAAGAGATGAGCTCAAAGTATATTTTCACATCCGGTTTGTTCTTTACCACAGTACTCCGAAGTATCATAGGAATATTAAAGATGTCTTTTTGGTCGAGAGTACTGCAGAAGCAGGACTAAATATTTAAATGCCTGCAATCCAGATATGTCCTGGCTCCTTCCTTCTTCTCTAAACTTTAGTATTTGGTTTTCGTGGCCACACCCAGTGGTGCTCGGGGGCTGACTCCTTGCTCTGTGCTCAGGATCTCTCCTGGCAGTACTTGGGGGCCATAAGCAGTGATTAAACCAGGGTCAGCCACATGTAAGACAAAATCCTTAACCACTGTATTTGCTCTTTCTCTTTGGTCCCTATCCATGCTGTATCTCTGTACGCATACACACTGATCTCATCTGGTCCATGACTGCTACGAAGCTGTCAGGAGAGCCTTCATACTGGTCCTCCACTCATTCTGCTCACATCCTCTTCCTCAGGTCTTAGTATTGCACAGCTCATGCCTAAAATCACTTTACATCAGGCCAAATACTACCTTTGGAGAGAGGATTTTCCCGTCCTACTTTAATTCTTGGTTGAACACTGATGACATTCTCTGGCTCTTATTCTCACTGTTCTATCTGAAATCTCTCACTAGGATGACTATTCTGTACTATCTCCATATGCATCCTCATCCTGCAAGAAGAGACCCAGAATGTTTGTTCTCAGTATATATTTAGGTTTAGTTTTTGAAACTTTAATTGATTCCACCTTGTTTTTATTACGATAGTTTCATTAGTTATTTTAATATCAAGCAGAGTAAGAACTATCCAACCACAAACATTATCTTTTTCAAAATTGTCTTAACTAAGGTGTGGAATATTTAATTCACATAAATTGCAGGGCCAGCTGATCATAGATTTCATATTAAATTTTATGAGAAGTTTCAGTGGTATTACTTTTAATCCATTTTTTTTAGTAATTTCCACACCTATGGGTGCATGAAGACCATAAGGGCTATACCCAACAGTGTGGGGAGGGGGCATGTAGTGTCAGAGGTGGCATTCGGAGACATGCACTGCATATACCAGGTTGCACTCCACCCTTGAGCTGTCTCTCTGGCACCTGCTTTGAATTTAGAAACTAGTTTGAGGAAGCAGACATCTGCATAAAATCTACATTTATTCTTCCACTTGTTTAAAAATTCATCTTGGTGCCTTTGATTCATTTTCATTGTTTCCTCGGAGAGCCTGGCCAGCTACCGAGAGTATTCTATATGCCAAACACAGTAACAACAAAGTCTCCAATGGAGACGTTACTGGGCCCGCTCGAGCAAATCGAGGATCAACGGGAGGGCCTTTACCTTACTTTACCTTACCTTTACCTTACATTTTTAAAACTGCTAGGAATATATATTATTTCTATGATGCTTATTAATTTTCAGTGAATAAGACAACTAATTTGCCCAGCTCTTACTGAGAGTTGATCTAATAATTTGAATTATTTACTGGATTTTGTAAAATATAGTAAACAAATTATTATTGTAGTGTGCTTTCCAATTTTTTTGGATGTCATATTGCATTATCTAAGACCTCTAGGAAAAGACACAGTAGCAATATTAATGTGGACCATTGGCTCTGAACTTACTCGGAAAAAACATTATCCATTGAATAATACTTTACTAAACTGAGTTAGTATCCTCTATAGTATTTCTATAATGCAAAAAATAGGCTTTTTAGGGGCAGGAACAATAATTCAGTGGGTAGGGCATTGGCCCTGCACATGGTCGACCTGGATTCGATCCCCGGCTTCCCATATGGTCCCCTGAGCACCGCCATGAGTTACACCTGAGCATCACTGGGGGTGACCCAAATACCCCTAAAACTGGGTTTTTAAAAGAATATTTTCTTGCCTTTTTATTTCACTTTTTAAATTTTTTTTTTATTGAATCACTGTGATATAGTTACAGACTTACAAACTTTCATGATTACATTTCAGTAATACAATGATCGGGTACCCATGCCTCTACCAGTACCAATTCTCTACCATCAATGTTCCCAGTCTCCCTCCCACAACCCCCACCCCTTACTACCCCCTGCCTCTGTGGCAGGCACATTCCCTTTCACTCTCTCTCTCTCTCCTTTTGGATGTTATGGTTTGCAATACAGGTATTATGAGGCCATCACATTTGGTCCATAGTCTACTTTCAGCATACATCTCCCATTCCGAGCAATCCCTCCAACCATCATTTACTTAGTGGTCCCTTCTCTATCCCAGCTGCCTTTTCCCCCAGCATGTGAGACCAGCTTCCATGCTGCGGTGTGATTCTCCTGGCCCTTATCTCTACTGTGCTTAGGTGTGAGTCTCCAATTATGTTACTTTATATTCCACAAATGAGTGCAGTCATTCTATGTCTGTCCCTCTCTTTCTGACTCATTTCATTTTGCATGATACTCTCCATGTTCATATGCAAATTTCATGATTTCATCTTTTCTAACAGCTGCATAGTATTCCATTGTGTAGATATACCAAAGTTTTTTTAATCAGTCATCTGTTCTTGGGCACTCCGGTTTTTTTCAGATTCTGGCTATTGTAAATAGTGCTGCAATAAACATACAAGTGAAGATGTCATTTCTACTGATTTTTTTTTGTACCTCCGGGATATATTCCCAGAAGTAGTATTGATGGGTCATATGGGAGCTCAATTTCTAGTTTTTGGAAGAATGTCCATATTGTTTTACAAAAAGGTTGGACTAGTTGGCATTCCTATCAAAAGTAAAAGAGAGTCCCTTTTCTCCCCTCACGTCCATGCCAGCACTGGTTGTTTTTGTTCTTTTTGATGTGTAACAGTTTCTGTGGTGTAAGATGGTAATTCACTGTTGTTTTAATTTGCATCTCCCTTATGGTTAATGATATAGAGCATTTTTATGTGCCTTTTGGCCATCTGAATTTCTAAAAGAATATTTTTAAATAGTAGCTTTATAGTATAGAAAAGCTAAAAACTGGCTGACACATTTTGTGGAAATCCTGCACGGTTTTAATAACAAATCCCAATGTCTGAGAGTCCTCTCTCAGACTTCCTAATTTTCCTAATTTTGAAGTTCTATCCCTTTTTGAAGCCTTGGCACTTTTACAAGGTAAAATACATTTCACTATTTTAGAAAGGAGGAAATCCTGACTTAGACTTGAGCAATTTTTCACAGGTCACAAAATTTAATAAGTAATTAAGTCAGAATTTATATCCAACTATATCTAGCTCAAAATCCTACACTCCTCCCACTGTATTCCATTTTTAATTCAATGAGACATCAAACAAAATCTATTAGCGTGCTTTAAAAAGAACAAATTTGTTGTGGGTTTGGGGGAGCTGATTAAGAACCCCCACCCAAAGAATGTCTATAATGATATCAGTTCTGAAGATTTCAAAGTAAAAAGTCATAAAGGCATAGTTGTTTGTCACTAATAACTATATATGTACATAAATATGTGTATACACATATGTGTTCTACATAATAATGGCTTATAAAAAGGCAAAAAGCACAAACACAACCATGTTGTGTATGTCAGTTAATAGAAAAGATTATAAAACAGAGACTCAAAAACATGTAGATATCAAAAATTGAAACCAAAAACGTAAATGTTAAAAGTAAAAATTGATTTCTAGGCTCAAAAGAATAAATAAGAAGGCAAATAAAAAGCATGAGAATAACCTTAATGCTTGTGAAAATAACCTAGTGGTTAAAACAAACTTGACTTTGCACAGCATGGCTGCCACGTACACTCAATATGATTTGGGTATGCATGGATATCATGATTGACCATAGCAAGAGGTGAATAGCACTACTCTCCATACCTGAGAATACATATTTATTGACATAACATATGGTTAGCTTGGTTATAATCTGGTAAGGATGGTAATCACCACAATTATCCATTCCACTAGTCAAGAATGAAAATTTAGAGGCAAGAGGAAACACAAAGACTTCACAAGACTGGTTAGATAATTCCTGGGTAACGGGAAGCTCCACAAAATGAGGCACTTCTTGCAGCTTTGATATCTTGAGAATTGAAAAACCCACCATTTAAAAAAAGCCAATTAAAAAATGTCATCATTGCATCACATACTGAGTAACCTAAGAATTCCTCTGTGTACTTACGGCCACTCCTGTCTTATAGAGGAGATAATGCACAGTCTGTGTAACATCAGCAGCATGCATTAAGTTGTGGTAAGGATTTTTATGCTTGCTGTACCCCACTTCCAGGGCCTCCACAAATGAGACAAGAGCGGAAATTGGGATCTGAAAGAGAGAAGTAAGGTTAATTAGCTGGGGACTCAGTAGCTTTAAGTGAGGAAACGAGAGTCCAAGACACTCTTAAGTGCCTCCTTCTGGAAGTGTATCACTTGCGCAAATTAGACCTTTTCAAAGTGAGTAAAAAAGAAAGAGTAACCAAAGAACTGATAGAATAATTTAACAGTCTTACAGGAAGTCCATGGTTTAGGAACAGTCTGCCCTGCAAGGAGTTCTTTGTGCTCTAGTTCAGAGGGCCAGGAAAGGACACAGAGCAACATTTAGAACATAATAAGGGTAGGTGCTCATTTACTTCTAAGGCAAGGAGCACATCTTTTGTTTCTTAAGAACTAATGAACAACTGGTAGGCAGCACATTTCATTTATGTGAAGAAAAACACAAAGATCTCTGTTTTAGAAAAACCAATATCTTGAATGATAGTGTGATTTCAGAGCAACCAAGAGTTGCACCCTCCTGAAAGCAACGTGGTTTAAAAGGAGAGACTCTGCACTGGACATGTGAAAGTAAAAACCAAAAATCACAAGATAGTCTATTATATATGGGAACAGAAACAAGCTCTGTCCTAATAGATAGTACTGAGAATTTCTTATTAGTGTCTTATAAATTGAAATAATGCCTCTAATAAACCTAGTTGATTTTCTGTATACTTATACAAATACATATAATCTAATTCCATAAGAGTGAAGAACAATTGCACAACGTCTATACAGATTGATTAACCCCTGAAAGCATTTACTGTATTTGTTTTCTGGATCAATTCCTTGGTAATTTTTTATTCCAAAAGATGGTGATAAAAGAGAGAATGTGCACGGAAAGTTAATAAGGAGAAAAGCACATTAATTTAAAAAAAAGGAATATGCTACTTCAGTTCTTCACAAATCTTTTGTGGATACTTTCTTCAATACTGAATATCAGATATAGTTATTAATTCATTGTCATATTAAAAAATGAAGTTACAAGACACCCAGGTTCTTTAAGATGTTCTTGGGAAATGCTTGGTAAAGGGTATGTATGTACATAGTAGATTTGTTCTCAGCAAAGGCTCTACACCAGACTCTGAAGGGCCAAGCAAGTAGAATCCTGCTATAAATAACACGTAGTTATGTAGAAAAACATACTTACAAATATTTAGCTCTTAGGAAAGTTAAACATGCAATCCAGAGACATCAGTGCATTATGCCCATTCCAGAGGCTTCCCCATGACAAGGGAAGCTGGGAAGTATGCCACGAGCAGCACCAGAGATGAAGGTGCTGGTTCCCTAGAGAACTTGGCATCGCCTCTAATGTTGATGGAATGAGAAGGTTGCAGGAGCTGGACTTGGGAAAGAACTCCTGCTCTCTACTTAAAGCTGAAGAATCCCCCTGAAGCAGGAATGGCTGGGGAATACCAAGCATCTGTCACAGACAATAAAGGAAAGGATTTGTCTAAATCTGAATCAAGTGGTGGGGATAAAAGTCTGCAGCACACTCTGTCTCCATTATTGTTGCTTTGCTGGTGGCGGCTAGTAAGTAGGACATGAAGAGAGGCTGAAAGGCCTCTATAGGTAGCGCTGACGGGACCTCCGTTAGTCCAGGTTGTTAATTGTCCTTCTAGGATGGAGGATCCTAAACATGACCCCCACCAGACAAAAAGATGCCCCCCACTGAAGAGGTCAGAGCAGTCGCCTCCGGGTACAGAGCAAGTCGTCCAGGGTAACATGGGGTATATAACTAAAAATCTGAGCCCCAAATTCATGCCAAGATGGACAAAACATGAGTTTTAAAAAACAGTATTAGTCACTGACCTTGAAACGGCTGATTAGATCGTAGCGTGTAAGTAACTCATAGAAAATGAATTTCAGTGCGTGATCACCGCTGGCTTCATTGAGGGAGAAGACATCAAAAGACCACTTATCCACATCCTGCACAAGGCCGGAAGAAGAACGCGTTAGCAGCAGTCTTACCAGCTGGAATCAGCCAGCAGCCTGCAGCCAGGATCTTTTAAAATTATTAATAATTAAATTGTCATGATACACAGTTACAAAATTGGGCTTCAGTCATGCAATACCTGTCCCTTCAGCAGTGTGCATTCCCCACCACCAATGTCTTCAGCTTCCTTCTTGCCACACCCCTTCCCACCCAATTCGTCTCTATGGCAGAAACTTTTATTCTCTCTTTTCTCTTAGGCACTGTCATTTGCAATACTGTTACTGAAAGGTTATCACGTATATCACTATCTCCTTTCAGCACTCACTTCTGGCCAGAGTGATCATTTTCAATTATCATTGTCATAGTGGTTCCTTCTCTGACCAAACTAATCTCCCACAACTTGTGACAAGCTTCCTACCATGGACTGGTCCTACTGGCCCTCAATTGTACTATCTTTGCGTATTATTCTCATACTTTTTTTTTAAATACACTCTAAATGAGCTGGATCATTCATTCTGTGTCTGTCCCTCTCCCTCTCCCTCTGATTCATTTCACTCAGAATGATACTCTCCATGTCCATCCATGAATAAGCAAATTTCATGACTTCATTTTTTCTAACTTCAGCCTATAGACCAAGATGCTAATGCCCTTTCCTCTCAAATATTTTCTCTTCTCACTGACTTACAGTGTGTACTGAAGAAAAAAAAAGGAGTCTCATAGTATTTGAGTACTAATGAGACCAGCAACAGCAGCTAGAGTTTATTGATTTCCTACCTTTTTCTAGGTATTGTGATCTGGGTTCAATACCCAACACCAGATATGATACCCTGAAAACTGTCAGAAGTAATCTCTGTGTGCAGAGGCAGGGGTAAGCCCTGAGTACCACCAGGTGTGGCCCAAGCCCCCAGCCCTCAATAAGAAGAAGAAAAAGAAAACTGAGACACAAACTGATTTCCCTAAGACACATGAAAGTTCTTAGGAACACCGATGTCTAATTTTAGGGTCTTTAAAACCTTTCAGTTACCGCTACTGAATTTCAATTTTTTATTCACTTATGACCACCTAGACTGCTTCCAGGCTCTAAACTTCTCCCCAGCCTTTCTACACTACTGATTGGCATTCTCATATCCCATAGTTGAGAAGAATTCAAAGGCATTCAGAAATACTTATGATATAGAGCACAAAATAATGTGTGATTCCAATCTACTGAGCCAATTCCATGAAGAAAACTAATTCCAATTCTAATCCAATCTACTGTGCCAATTCCATGGAGGAAACCATTATTTCATATAAAAACACATCTATTTTTGGAATTGCTAATGTGGTGATCAAGTCTTTAAATCTGTAAGTCACAAATAAAAGTTAAGCTGAACATACTCTGAATGAATACAATGTTCCTAGAGTTCAAAGTCACTTTTACCTATGAATAGGTACTCCAAAATATAGGTATCATAAAGTTCCCCAGTTTTACAAATGTAACCTCAAAGAGATGAAGTTTCTAAAGTTATTCAGTAGCATACATGGGTAATAACTTCACTAACAATCCTCAGTGATACTACCAGAAGTTGACACTGTAAACTCAATGAATAGACAACAAATTTATTGTGATCCAGACCTCATGCCCTAAATATGCCAGTAGGGACCCAGTCCACAGACTATGGGACATTTAAGATGAACCTACTAAACCTTCCCCTTGAAACTACAATTGGCATTGTCATGAGATTTAACGTCTAGTTAGTTCCAATCAATATTAGTTTTGCTCTAATAAAAGCCCACTGTAAGCTCACAAATAGAAAAATGCTGTGACATTTGATGAGTTTTAATCCTGTTTTCCAGAATATAAAAAGCAAGAAAGGCTCTTTACCACTGGATATAAAGAGATAAATATAGTAAGATTCATGATTTATTCTGAATCTCTGGATTTAGAAAAGCAGAAACTAGAGACAGGGAGATGGATAAACTCTGAGACCATATTTTCTGGAATTCTTAACTGGGATTCTCAAATTTTAACGTTCTTCAAAATCATCTGGAACATACAAGAAAAATCCCAATTCTCTAGTAGGGTCTCATGACAAGGGGCTTAGAATCTACATTTTTAACAAGTTGCTTTAATCCTTTCTTTCTCTATTTCCAAACTAGCCATGGAGAAATCATGTGTACTTCCTAGTAGTCTAATGGTAAAAGGAGTCTAAAACTTCTCACTTCCTCCCCCTTCAAACATGGAGAAAGCCCAAAGTGTCTCTTCCTGAGTCACACAATAGACAATTTTTAGAGACAACCTACTGGGACATTTCCAATGACCCCACCTTATTAGACAAGAAATCAGTCACCTCAAATTATTAACTAGCATTTATTGAATAGAAACAATAAAAAAAAACAAAAGTCAGTATCTTTCAATTCGTAGATATGTGGCTGGAGAATTCTCTTACTTGATATTTTGTTAGTTTTTCTTTCTCGGCCACATCCAGCTTACTCTTGGCTCAACATACAAGAGATCATTCCTGGTAGGACTCAGGGGACCACCTGGGATGCCAGGGAATGAATCCAGGTGGGCCACATGCAAAGCAAGCTCCCTACTCACTTAAGTACCTATCATTCCACCCCACTTAAGTATTCTTACATTAACACATTGTTTAACATGACAGAAGCATGATGGGTAATTTTTGAATTGTATTCACTCAGTCTCTGGGGAAAAGTTCTGTAATAGAAAAAAAAAAAACATCAGCAATTCCAGATAAACTGCTAGAATAAGTAAAAAATTCTAAAATGCACAGAATAAGTAAAAAAAATTCTGTCTCTGTGCCCTTTCCAGCTCACCATCAATCCACTGCAAATAAGAGTTGAGAGAGATGGAAAAATATTTCATTGTAAAAAAGTTTTGAACTAGTGGCACTATATAGAAAGTATCATGCTAAGTGAAATGAGTCAGAAAGAGAGGGATAGACATAGAAAGATTGCATTAATCTGGGAAACATAAAGTAACAAAATAGGAGACTAACACCCAAGAATAGCTGAGATAAGTACCAGGAGGTTTACTCCATGGTTTGGAGGCCAGCCACATATGCTAGGGGAAAAGGCAGGTCAGATAGAGAAGGGAGCACCAAATAAAGGGTGTTGGGAGGATCCTCCCAGAATGGGAGAAGCATGCTGAAAATAGACTGTAGACCAACATGATTGCCACTCAATGCCTCTTTTGCAAACCACAGCACCCAAAAGGAGATAGAGAACAAAAGGGAATGCCCTGCCACAGAGGCAGGGGAGGATGTGTGGGAAGGGGGGTGGGAGGGATACTGGGATCTGTGGTGGTGGAAAATGGGCACTGGTGGAGGGATGGGTACTTGATCATTGTATAACTGAAACCCAAGCACAAAAATTTATAAGTCTACAACTGTACCGCATTGTGTTTCACTAATAACATTTTTTAAAAAGTCCTGAACTTCCCAGTATACAGAGGACAGAATCAAGGGAAATAACAGGTTCAGAGTTATGCACAATAGTTGTGGAGAAAGCAGACATGCAGAGTGAGTGTTCATTCTTTATCAGCAAGATAACATGTGGGCATCTGAGAATTATATTTTCCTAAGTATAAAATCATAATTCATGCACACTCAATTATTCTGCATAAAATTATGCTTCAATTTGGAATAGTTTCATAAATTTCTTAGTACTGATATAATCATCTATATTCCACAATAGAGGAAACCATTAAAGATAAAGAATACTCATAAAGTTCCTTAGAGCTTCACTGAATGCTTCTGGTTTGATTATAAAAATCGATGTAATTTCTTAGTGGGTATTATGAAACATCAGTTCCCATGAAGTAATTCTCCTGAGTATATGGGAAATGTCACTGTAAACCATATTGATACATTACGCATTAGAATAAGGGTGAAAGAAGAGTAATAGAAAAAGTTATCTTCTTCTTGACTTCTTGACAATGCTTTCTGATTTATGGTAAAGAGAGAGTAACCAGATAACTGAGAATATGCGCCCAAACATATGTGAACTCTCAAAAATTCAGTCAGAGGGGCTGGAGTGATAGAACAGTGGGTAGGGTGTTTGCCTTGCATCCAGCTGAGCCAGGTTCAAACCCGTCATCCCATATTGTCCCTTAAGTATCGCCAGGAGTAATTCCTGAGTGCAGAGCCAGGAGTAATCCCTGAGCATCACTAGGTGTGAGCCAAAAAAAAAAAATTCAGTCAGTGAATATTCTTCATACAAGAGAAATCACTACAAATATACAAGCAAAATAACCTTCAAGAACTATATCTTGATGTTAAATTAATTAGGCACTTAGTTTATTTAATTAATTAAGTGTTTAATTAAATGCCAACCCCATTTTCACAAATCGGCCATTTAAATTATCTTCTGGAAATACCAGGTAATTCATTTTCAGAGAAGACAGCAATACTTTAACAATAAAATGCTGAAACACTCCTGAACAGATGGGTGAGTATATGCACAGTCATCAGGCAATGTCAACCAACCCCGTTACCCTGCGTCTTGGTGCAGCCACATTCTCCAACATAAAGATCCAAAGTGTTTCAGTTCATGTCTCACACTAGTGGCTCTGAACCAACATGTACCTACAGGCATACATCTGTTTGGGGTCTCTTGATATTCCACTGAATACCAAAAGCTTGCCTGTTTGGAAGTAATTCTGAAATATTTAGCCTACTTAAACTCAAACATCTGCCTGATTTCCCATGGAACTTTTGGGATTAGTGAGAATTTTAGTAAATCAGTATAATCTATGAAGAGGACCAGGGCTCTGGATACAAATACTCACGCCGTGAAATGTTAGTGAAAGATTATTACTATATGACGAGAACTCTAATACAAAGAATACGTTCTACCTCAATTATCTAGATCTTTAAAAATAAAAAGCTCTCTCTGGGTCTTAGCTTCCTCATCAAAAGTGAACTCAGAGTAGATAATAATGGTGCAATAATCATCAAAGATGCTCTTGATATAGAATCCTTACAATCAGAACAACTATGATCTCTTGTGGTTGTAAGTCTGACTCAGTCATGTAATGCTAGATCACTCTAAAAACCACTAATGACTTCAAGAGTATCTGAAGAAATAAAGACCCGCACAATATGATTTCTTTTAGAATTTACACATAAAATGGGACTAGAGAGATAGTACAGTGGATAAGGTACTTGCAAGTAGCTGATCTTGGCTGGATCCATTGTACCCCATATGGTCCTCTGAGCATGCCAGATAGGCCCCCAAACCAGAAATAAATAACAACAACTAAACGTTTGTAAATATAAAAAATGGCTTAAAGGTAATGGTAAAGGCCCTCCCGTTGATCGTCGATTTGCTTGAGCGGGCCCAGTAACGTCTCCATTGGAGACTTTGTTGTTACTGTGTCTGGCATATCGAATACTCTCGGTAGCTTGCCGGGCTCTCCGAGAGGGTTGGAGGAATCGAACTCGGGTCGGCCATGTTGGCCACTTGTAAGGCGAACGCCCTACCCGCTGAATTTTGGTGTTTTTATAATGCTCAGGCTTACTCCGAGCTCTGCTCTCAGGGATCATTCCTAGGGTTGAGGGTTGAGGTGTGGTGTGGTTGGGGACTATATGAGGTTCTGGGACTGAACCCAAGTGAGCTATTTGCAAAGGAAGCACCTGCTGTACTATCACTCTAGACCCCAAACTGGGTTAATTAAAAAGAAATGACACACAAAAAAGTGCTGTAACTGCAGATAAGAAGATTTAAAAAGTCAGAGGTGATGGGAAATCTGTAAGTGAACTATAAATGAAAAATCATGACTTTATGACAAATTTTACTGTAGTTTTTTATGGGGTACTGGGTACATTGTAAAATATTTTTAGTGGTATTACCTTTAACGCTTCAATAACAGCTGGAGGATAGCTCAGTCCAACCATATTTGATGTTCGTCTATACATCCTGGAAAAATCAAAGGAGAAAATACTTTATCTCACAAAGAAGGATGACCCTGCTACAGACTAATATCAAGTATTGACACATAACAGAAATTCATGTCATGGGAAAGCCCAAGGCACCTAAAATTTCTTTCATAATCTTTTTTTGTAGTCACTCAAGTGGCTAAAGTGCTAAAATTCAAGAGGAACCGAAACAATGCCCAATACATAAACTGTTGGGGGAAATGGTCTGTGTGTTCTAAATTAGAAATTAAATTATTAAAACAGATCACCTCTTCTGCCAGAAGTGAGTTATAGCACAGCCTAGACAGCATACAATGTGGTCATTTAAAATGGAAAAACCTTATTTAGAAGAGGTTTTAAAAACCTTATTTAAAACCTTATTTCAAAAGCTGGTGTTACTATGGCTGTTCTTGAAAACAGTCAAAACCTAAAAGAAAAAAGTGTTCCAGGTTAGCTCCAAAATGATTTTGGCATGTTCAGTCCTATAATTATGCAATAAGGATTAAAGGAAGCGTGAATCAATTTATGAAATCTATTTCTAGAGAAGGGACCTATTCAAATTCAAAGAACAAAATCTCTAAAACAAACTGGAATGTCATGGGGACCTGAAACCCCTAAATGAACTCCAAACCAGCCCATTCCCCATGTGGATATCAGGAGAGCATCTGGGTACATCAAGGGTTCCCTGTACAGGCTGGCTTCCCTGCTGTGCTTTAAAATTCAGAGACTGAACTCAAAACAACTTTAGTTAATAAGAATTCTGAGAAAGGCAAAAGTGTGCCTGAATGATGTTCCAGAGCTTAGTAAGATAGGCTTTTGCAAGACTTTTCAGCAAGAATTTTCAGAATTTGTAAACATACCAAAACTGCATTAAAGTCAAGTTTCCAGTTATTAAAGCTGGTGTTACTATGGCTGTTCGATTACTGAATGACAGTTATTTTTACCTCTCCACAAATATCCCAGCCTGCACAGCGTGGACAATAGTCTTGAACCGAGGCTTCTCTTCACTCCTTCTAAGCATCATCCCCATCTGCCGGGTAAAGGTGGAGGCCAGCCAGTCTCGGACCTCAGAGGGCACTGCATCCGATTGAATGTCGCTGAGCTCATCTTCTGTGTCCAGGAGCCGCCTGTAGACAAGAGATACAGGACACTGAGAAGAAGTCTGAAATTAGTGCTCTCTGGCCAAACTACAAACTTCTCTCCACCTTCCCTGCATAAACAGGCACAAAGAGACCAAACAAATTTTGCCATGAAAGAGACAGCACTGCTTTGGCTTCAAGTTGATGAAAGTTTCATCTATTTCAGGGTGGTTTGTACCAACCATTTCCATTCCAGGGAAGCTCAAGCAACTGGGTCAATGGCTCAAAGGAATCAGATAAAATCCACTCTGGTCCATCTCATGTTCAGTGGTCTCAGATCCACTGTATTCAGGGGACCCAGAAGGCCTGTGCGATTTGAATAGTCTAAACCTTCCATTTTTAAAAAAATGCATGAACTGGAGCAATAGCACAGTGGTTGGGATGCTTGCCTTGCACCAGACAACCTGGTTCAATCACCAGAACCCCATAAGGTCCCACCAGGAGTGGTTCCTGAGTGCAGAGCCAGGAGTAAACACTGAGCACCACTGGGTACAGCCTAAACCGCCGAAATAAACCAGACCTTGCATTCCCAGGGGTCTTATTTACTGACAAACCATGAAACATTTATTTATTTCATGAAGATGGATGTTTGGGGCTGGGAAGATAGCACAAGAGTTGGAGTCTTTATATGCACAAGACTCTGGTTCAGCACTGATTGGCCTCTGTACATCCCGAGGTGCAGTGCTGGGGGCACCCAAGCAGAGCTGAATATGGCCCTGGTGGACCCGACTACTGCCATAAGTAGGACTAATGGTTCCTTGTGGAGCCTGGTGACAGACACTGGTGCAGATAAGACCTGACATTGCAAAAGCAGCCCAGAAGCAAAGCCTTGCACGAGGGAGTAACTGGGCAAAGTTGGCAAGAACAAGGTGTCAGCCAGCATCAGGTGTTCAGCCTTGAGCCTCACTCGACCTCCTAGTCACATGAGCCCTAGATACAGAAACTGTCATGTATGCTTAGCAAGTTATCCTAACCGCAGCATCTAGCATTGACTGGGATTGGACGGGGTCATAGCAGAGAAGGAGCAGTGATAGGCCAACAATTCCGAACTTCATGTGATTGGACTTTCTTGTAAGCCGAGACCCTCTGTAAAATGTGTGTATCTGGCAATAAAGTGAACAGCCATCAGCTGCTCCCGGAGGGTGTTTCTCTGCGCGACCGTTATCCTTCGCCCCATTCCTGCCCCGACCTGGTGCGCAACGTTTCTGGGCACCATTGGGGGCAAAATTGTTCCCCAACAGTTCCCAGTACTGGGCTGAGGGGGATGCATCCTTAGGTCCAACCACTGAAATATCATGCAGTAGGCTGGGAGTGGCCTCCAGGCTCCCCAAGCACCATCTGGGAGGTTCACCTCCCTAAAAACCACTTTGAAGATTTTTCTAGACACATTGCTGTATTTTAAGCTTCAAAGTTATTAAGAAATAGGATCTTAATGTATCGAACATAGAGAGGAAATGATAAGTACATATGATAGTGCTATCAGCTTAGCTAAAAATCATATTTAATACATAGTTGTACACAAATGTATGAAACACTCAAATTGTACCTCCAAATATTCTACCATGTTGTATATCAGTTAATCTCAATAAACATCATTTTGGGAGAGGGCCCAATTGGTACTCATGCGGCCCAAGTCCCTCTCACGAGTTCTTGACCATCTGAGCCAGTGGTTCATTGTGAGGGCCTGAGGTTCTGGTGCTGCTTGGGTCTGGCAGTGCCAGGAATTATCTGGACCAGCAGTGCAAATGCTAGTCAGAAGCCTCTGAAGTTGTATCTAGCAATACTTAGGAAATCAGCTGGTGCTGGGAATCAAACTGGGGTCAGTTAAATGTAAGCCACAAATATAACCCCTTATAATCTCTTTAACTCTAAACTACATTTTAAAATAAAAAGAAAAACTTTATCAAGTACTACCCCAGTCACTATAACGCAGTCCTCTAACATAATGAACTAAATAAGAGTTTCTCTACTTTGATAGAGCATTTATAAACACTAAGAATCTAAACTCTAAACTAGAAGAGTCTAAATTCAAGCAAAATTTCCAAAATAATGCAATTTTTTCTTTGAGCACAGTGATTTAAATCATCAGTGAACTATACTTATTTTTTTTAGTTATTTGTTGGAGTACACGGAGCTTAGGTTTATCAGAATGTACCCATCACAGTGCTCCCGAGTCACTCCCATTACTTTGTCAGTCTGTAACCACTTCTATGCTCTCTTCCCCAACCAATTTGTAAGGTCTCATCCTTCTTAGACACTGAAGCTGTACTGTAAGTTAATATTGCCTTTCTCCTCTCCTTATGTCTTTTGAGCAGTTTACTTTAATGCAATGTCCTTTTGTATAGATACAGGAAGACAATTAATTAATATTATGCTTTATAACTTAGGAATTAATTGGCTTTGGATATTATTCACTCCTGGGCATCTGCCTTCTCAACTTAAGCCTCAGTTGCCCTCACTTCCTAGCACCCCAAGGGCAGGGTCCGACGTGGGACTGGATGGAACCAGGGCAAGCCGGTAAGTTATGTGCTACCCTGGTATCGCGATGGACCACGATTCTTAACTTTAAGTTAAAAGGTTGGTCATAGGCAAATGATGTCATGATCCAATAGTAACGACAAGACTAGGGCCCTGCTGCTAGGAATAGGAAAGATGTCTGGCCTGAGCACTGCAGTCTGAGATCGAGATGGCCCTAGGAGAGCAATTCTATAAGCTCAAAGTATTTCTTACTGTGTCCATACAAAATGATTAATATTATGTATGCTTATATGTTGGTTGGACAAGGAGAGGAGAAACACGTCCTAGAAGCAGTTTTCCTGTGTGTTCTGACTAGCTTGGATGAGACTGCTTTCTCCCCTTCAAACTGTCTTCAGTAAATGATTTCATATATTGAGACAGTTTCCCCTTTCTCTCAGAACCCTGGCTGGTCTTAGATATGCAGATCTCAGGTGGTAGCCAGGCTGGTCTTTGGGATGCAAATCAAAGTGCTTGCAGTTTGTGAAAGTGCTTGTGAAAGGTTTCAGCTTGGCTTTGTATCTTCTTTCCGGAGGCCAGTATTACTGGCCTGCAGATGTAAGGAAACAATGTGGATGTAAGGTAAAGGTAAAGGTAAAGGCCCTCCCGTTGATCGTCGATTTGCTCGAGCGGGCCCAGTAACGTCTCCATTGGAGACTTTGTTGTTACTGTGTCTGGCATATCCAATACTCTCGGTAGCTTGCCAGGCTCTCCGAGAGGGGCGGAGGAATCGAACTCGGGTCGGCCATGTTGGCCGCTTGTAAGGCGAACGCCCTACCCGCTGTGCTATCACTCTGTAAGGTAACAATATATGGTTTGCCCCCTCAATATTCTTTCTGTAACTCCTTTTGATGACATCACTATATTGCGCCCTTTAGAGGTACTACGATCTATATAAGGGAGATTTCAGGGCTCTCTGGGGGGACACGCGCACCAGAGAATCTGGGAAGATGGGGCTGAGGACAGAAGCGGAGAGAACAAAGGCGCACGTGCTTGAGGATTCCTGAGGCCTCCATGACATACATCTCTTCCATGTAATAAACGGCTGCTAAGACCAACCAGCCTGGTCCCCGTTTCCTTCCTTCGTCTGACCATCGCCATCGACCTTCCTGGAGTGGGGAAGCGGCCTGACCGCTGGCCTTTTTATTTTTTTTGTGTTTACACAGTTATTCAAAGGCAGGCTATGGAAAGGATCTCATGAATACTGAGGGAGGGGCCTGATTGAATTTGGCAGGATTGGGTGAGGAGAAGGTGCAAAGCTTTCATCTTTGTCATTTTAACATTTTCAAAAGGTAAGCAATGTGGGCTGAAGAGAGGTCAAACGGGAAATCACAGGCCTAGCTGACATGAGCCCTAAACTCAATCTCTGGTCTCCAGAGGTGCCTATCACAGAACTATGAGGCCCACACAGATGAACCATGCACTACTTGTCAGAAAAAAAGAAGAAAAACAGATTTGTCACTTTCCAATTCCATTATAACGGGAACTGCTTTAGTACTTTGGGGTAACTGGAGTGGAAGCAGCTTAGGAAATCAATGAAATATAGAGACTGGAGGAAGAACATGGGCCCTGCAGAGCACAGCTGCATCCTCAAGATACTCCACTTGTGGATGGATGTTGTGAATTAAAACAGGAACATAATTTCTAGGCTGAGGCTAATTCTTGTGTAACTGCAGCTTTTAAATTTTCTCCTCTGACGTTACATCACTTCACATCATGTCCGTGTTCTCAGCGAACTTCTGTATCTCCTATGGATGAGGTGAGACAGAAGATTTATGACTTGTCAAAATCTACCCCATTTGTTTGCGGAAACGAATGTTCCAGGAATAGTTATTTGAATCCTACCTCATACCATCCTGGGGTCAATTTCAGAAAAAAAGTTTTTTCATAGAAAATTTACTATCACTGCAAAAACCTTTGTCCATTAGATCTTACCTGGTTTCATCAATGTATACAGATTCAAGCACTGTGGCTGCATATTCCAAATTCTTCTTCAGATCTACTATGGAGGCCTCCCCTCTCTCTAACTGTTTGACCAAAGACCGCAACCTGTGGAGGAAAGATACGACCCACTGAGAACAGAGAAAATCAAAAAGCCTTCTAGTATAGTGAAGACAGGTTACAATGAGTGCTTTTAATTACTTGAATATAACATGTGAAAGGAAATGCAAATTGAATGGTGGGATTGATCAGTAGCTCTCAATGGAATTATAAAATAAATGTATAAATGTATAAAATTTTGCCCTTGTAAAGCAAAACCAAAAACATTCTCATCCATCATGCATTAACAGCTCCGATACCTAACAGCCTTTTAGCATTTTTAATTTTATACTGAAGTCACATTGGTTATTAACATTATATTAACAAGTAAAGGTGCTCAAATCAGATAACATTGGTTATTAACATTATATTAACAGGTAAAGGTGCTCAAATCAGATAACCCTCAGATTCTCAGAGTCTCTCTCCTCTAGAAGTCTGCTTTAGAAACCAACTATTCTGAGTTAAGAACACTGAAGGCCCTAGATGCTAAGGAAAAGCTCAAACCTTTCCTCTCATCTTTTTGCCCCGCTATGAGTCAAACAAGTGGTCATAGAAGAATGGCCTAGAAGGCCCCTATGGCCTAGGAGAATGCAGTTTGGGGGTATCTCTAATGTTCCTTAGTAAACATGCCCATCTCTGAGAACCACCTTGCTCCTTTCAGGAGAGAGGAAGTGTCCCCTCCTTATCATGGAGAGTCCCTGTCCTCTCTCCTTGGCACCCTGCACCCCCGTATTTCCTCCCTTGCCTTAGGTCTTAAATCTCTTTCTCCCAAACTATAAGGGAGAACTGTGTAACTACTGTCTCTCCTCATGAGCACATTGAACTGACTGTGGTAAGCAATCTGATGCTGTTTTGATTACTCTGCCAGCTCAAGAAGAACACAGAGGGACAGGTCATTTTCCCCTGTAGTTGACATCAGTTTTTGAGGATATGCATAAGTAAATGTGTATATACTTCCTAATGCTCACCACCCAAAGCCTAGTTTCCATCCTTTACACTACAACTGATTCTTTGATCCAACTGATCCTTTGATCCAAATGATCTCTCAACAATTCCAAAGGGATAATGGGATTAGAAAATATATATTTTTTAAATTTTATTTTAGGAACAATGTGGCTTAAAGAATTGCTAATGGTAAGGTTCATGCACAAAACATCCCAGCACCACATCCTCCACCAGTGTCCACGTCCCAGTGACTCCAGTCCACCTCCACCGTGCTAAATTTCCTACTGAAGACCAGTTTTCTCTTTCTGTTGTCTTTGGTATTTGTTGTTCCTCTACTATGTGCATTTATACTAGATCATATAAGAGCGATCAAAACAAAGAAATTTTGGAGCAACAGCACAGCAGGGAGGGCATTTGCCTTGCAGGCAGCCAACCCAGGTTCGATTTCTCCGTCCCTTTTGGAGAGCCCGGCAAGCTACCAAGAGTATCCCACCTGCACGACAGAGCCTGGCAAGCTACCTGTGGCATATTTGATATGACAAAAACAGTAACGACAAATCTCACAATGGAGACCGTTACTGGTGCCCATTTGAGGAAACTGATGAACAACAACAGGAGGACAGTGCAGTGCTATATTGAATACAGGAAAGCTAGTCTAGCAATATCAACACATACTGCTGGAGATTTGGCTATGCTTAAGGTACTCTTCAGGCACAGCCATAGAGAATAGCAACCCCATGGTTCATGTATGTTCCAAAACCGGGAAGGAGACTCAGACCACCAAAATAGTCAGAAAGAGCAGCACAAGAAGTACATAAAATATTTTACTGAACAGAAAGAATTCTTCTAGGAGTGGATACATAACTAGTTTAAAAGAAATAATGATGAATAATAAACTGATGTACTGAAGACAAGACCTTCCACGCTGCTAGTAGAGATACAGACAATATGAAAAACAAGCAAATATGCTCTTGCCTTATCCACTGTTCTCACAGAGGAGAACTTAATACAATATAGTGACAGAGAGTGGAGAAATAGTACAGTGGGGAGGGTGTTTGCCTTGCATACAGCCGACCAGGTTCAATCCCCAGCATCCTATATGGTTCCCGGGCTCCTCCAAGAGTAATTTCTGAGTATAAATCCAGGAATAAGTCTGAATGCTGCTGGGTGTGCCCCCAAAACAAAAACAAACAAACAAAAATGCCAGAGTGACAAAATACCGAAAAGATGGTCAAAGTTTGGTATCTGGGAATACTGAAAATATCACAGAGATTTGAAGACCGGACGACTTTTCAGGCTGACAGCCAGCAGAAAGCAGAAACTTGGAGGACAACTTTGCATTTGCATCTCACATTGCAATGTACTAGCTCTGAGATTCCAGGCAAGCTGACTTCTTCATGTCAGCTATAAAGGGGAGCCAAGCACCACATTTTTTAATCTTGCTTTAAAACAAAGAAATCAAGTTGATAATGATATATTCGCATACATTTACTATGTCAAGTGATATACTCATACAATCATATGGCCTATGACTTGACTTTTATCTGCTTAATTGAGATATAATAAACTTCACATCATGTAAGTCAAAAACATACAACAGGATGACATGTTATACTGTCAAGAAATTGCCACAATAGTCAATTCACTCATCCATCACTTCAGACAACTACCATTTGCAAAAGAGAGTGGGAAGAACATTTAAAACCTAGTTTTTTTCCACTAAAATATACAAAGTTGACTGAAATCTAATCATGAACATCTTTTTTATTGATCTCACAGTGAATCAATAAAACAGTAAAAAAAAGTCGTATTTCTAACTACAATCGTCATGAAGCATATTGGGTTCCCACACATTGTTTTCATAACAGGAAGTCTGTGCTCATCAAGTCTATTGCCATTTCATTCATGGACCTTAACAATCCAAGGGAGACAAGGATAACACATTCTAGCAAAATACTGAAGGTTACAATCAAGAGAATATTCTCCAAGGTCCCCACCTTCCTGACATCACAGATATTCATCTTTGAATTCTCGAGAGACAACAGAGCTAGTCCTTGACAAGTAAACTATTCTCTGCAGATCTCTATCAAAATAACTAACACAGAAAAAAAGAGTCTGGATCAACCAGAAGAGAGAGGTGAGGTATCAGTCAGAACCACCCCCAGCATCCATCACCACCACCACCACCACCACCACCACCACCAAATCCCAGGATGCCAATAATGTCAAGTGCAAAGGATATGAGATTAAGGACAGTGGCCACCTGACTTAAGACTTCCAGTCAAGTAAAAGGGAAATGAGCCAAAGATGTCAGCAGAAACTTCTGTATGACTTGAAATGAAGGGAACTCCAGAGGTCTTAGGAGCTGTACCAGGTAGTACTGAAGACTTCAGAGGCAGCCCAAGACAGGGAACTGGCATGGAAGACCTTACCCGTCCCACACAATGCAGAGCCAGCCTGCCAAAGAGTGGGGAACCAGAGTATCGAGTCCTGAGTGCAAATAAGGAATGGCAGTTCTTTAGCAAAATCTATTCCCAGCTCAGTCTGTCTCCAATTTTCACTCTCACCTCCAAAGGCCAAACTTACCTCCTTGTGGTGTTTAGACCTTGAAGTGGCAAGTAAAATGAGAGTAAATTTAAATTTATTCCCTGCACTCCCTTCATCTGAGGTTTAAAGAATCTACCAGAAGTTGTTAGGAATCCCTAATAGAACCCATATTAATTCTTGAAATCTAAGTGTAAAGGACAAAACAGAAAATATTATAAGAAAAAATATAAAATTAATAGAAGAACCAGATGTTTCTAAATAAATAGAAGCAGCATTAATCAAGTAATTCTTTTAGACTGGAAAAAAGAGTTCATTCCTCAACCCCCCTGATGGTTCCCCAAATCCCTCTAGGAGTGATTCCTGTGCACAGAATCAGATGTAAGTCCAGGTATGGCCCCCAAGCAAACCCAAAAACAACAATGGCAAAAACTAAACCTTTGAGAAAGATTTACTTATAAAATAGCCAAAATCTAAGTTTGACTTGGATCAAGGGAAATAAAGACCAGAAAACACTTCAATTATACCAGATTTTGAAGCTTATGTGGTCCAATTTAAGATATATGCCTATTTAAATATATATCTAAATTTAGTAGAATTCCCATAGCTTGTAGTGAAGCCAACAAATGTATTCTCTCACAAACAAGTTCAAAGCTCCATGCTGAAGTATGCTGGTCATTATATAACAAAACCTAAAAAATGCTATCTCTTCTCCCTTTCCCCAAGCCAATTCATAATTCTAGTGTAAATGCTTCCAATATCACTTTTTATGACCCTAACCCTAATTCTGTTTTATTTTAAATTAAAATTATTGAGAACTTTAAGTGGAATAAGGTATATATTCACTATTGTTAACTTCCCCCACTTCTGGGAAAGAACAATCCAAAGAGAATCAAACCATGGAGAACCTCCTACAATTTACAAACCAGGCAGCAGGACCACAGGCCAGTGCAAAAGTGATGCTGCAGGGAAGAGAGCACCTGGAGTCCCACCCATGGTTTGAAAAACATCTCCTCTGTCAAAGTCTCACGATCAACAGCAAATTATTGTGGGGTTTCTCTCCTGACTGGTCACCTGTAGTGCATGTCAGACACTAGACACATCACCCATCCAGGGCTGGAATCTGGCCTGGCAGATATCCCCCTCTCATGGGTCTCAAATATTCCAAAGCACAATGACACTGACTAAAGGAAGTCCAGAATACATACAAGGTGGTAAAATCTGTATCCACCCTCATCTTCCTAGTTTATGAGACGGTAAGGACATTCTACAAGATTCTACCCAGGGAAATGCGGAGAGGACTGAAGAAAAACACAGCCACTGTATTTATGGAACACACTCTGTAAACTCTTAGCGCTCCTTACTCAAGGGTAGAAATAAATAAAAAATGACAAAGACTCAGCAACAAAGAAAGCAGAAACAACGGGCACTCAAATCACAGAGAAAGGATGTGTTTTTTGGGGGGTGGAAAAGCAATGTACAATGTACAGAAGTAAATTTTAGGGAGCATCTGTGTTCAA